AAGAAAGGAAAAAAAAAGAAGAAGAAGAAAAACAAAAGAAACATCTCTAAAATTAAACAGTCTTGGTTCTCCACTCTATTGAGAACTGTTTAATTAATTCAGATAGATCCTGGATGTAGGGAAATGAAACCGAATGAGAGTTAAATGTAATTGAGAAGTGGATTCGATCCCTAGGTAGAGAAGAGCCCCTGGAGAAGGAAATGGCAACCCACTCCAGTATTCTTGTCTGGGAAATCCCATGGACAGAGGAGCCTGGCAGGCTACAGTCCATGGGGCTGCAAAAGAGTCAGACACAACTTAGCAACTAAACAACAATAATAACAAAAGTGCACTAATTATCCTGAAAAAAAAAATGCTCTCCTGTACTCATTATACTAGCTCAGGCTTACTTGTCATGTTGTATAAAACAACCTATTAAAACCTTGATTAGCCAAAGGCCCAAGGGGCAGTGAAATAAAACAAAGATACATCTGTACAGGCATATTTATAGCCTCATGACTAAACAGTTGTCAGAGTACAGATGATCCTCAAAGAGGAAAATCAATAGAACTTGTCATGAACATTCTAGAAGTAAACATCTCAAACAGATTTTCAGTGTTTTACTGCTTTGGACAAATTCGAGGACTCCACAGATCACATTTTCCTGGACAAATATTGTGATCTCTTTCAAATGTATGTTATTAGTCCCATTTTTCCAAGTATTCTCTTTCAGTTTGCCTGACTTTGACTACAAGGTTCACATTTCTTCTCCTACAGAACATCACAAAGTTTCATTTTTCCTACTTGAGTGGGAGATAGCCCCTCCTCCCTTGCAGACCACAGAGCAGTTTCTGAGAGGGGTTTAAGATTGTACTTGTGTATAAGGAATTCTGATATAAGGAACAGGAGTGTGGTGGTGCTAGTCTCTGGCTGGTGAGCAACCCCTTCCTTCTAGAATGTAGTCTTCTAAAGGCAAGTCTCGTTTTAAAATGAGTCTCTGGTCTTTTACTCAAAACAGTCATATAAAGAATCCTTTTTTGCAAAACTACTTAAGGACCTCATAGTTTGTTGTTGTTGACAGTTTGTGTTGTTGTTTTGAGCTGTACTGAATGGTACATAGAACCTTAGTTCCCTGACAAGGCGTCAAACCCACATCCCCTACATTGGAAGTTCAGAGTCTTAACCACTGGACTACCAGGGAAGTCCCAAGGACACCATGGTTTTCTCAAAGTCCGTCCTTAATACCTTGATAAGCCACATATCTTCTTTTGAAGTCTAGTGTCTTAATCTTTGATTTTCTTTCCAAATTAACTGTCAGATCCTCACTTTTCTATTGCTTTGGGTATGATGTGTTAAGTTCCCAATATCACTTCATTGCTTCATAAAGACTTATCTTTTGCAAGCTGTGCAATTTCATTTTTCAGTGGATATAAACTGTACTGCTCAGTGATTTAGACAAAGATGTCAATAGAGAAATGCTAACATTCAGCAGGGTAAGATGTCTGAGTCAAGAATGATTCCTAAATAATCAGTTTACTCATGAATAATTTGATGTTATGACAACTTTCACTTCCTGATATGAGCTGAATTGTGTCCTCCTCCCTCAAATTCTTATGGTGGTGGTGGTTTAGTTACTAAGTAGGGTCGACTCTTGTGACCTCATAGACTGCAGCCCATCAGGATAATCATAGGATTATCCTGGCAAGGATACTGGAGTGGGTTGCCATTTCCTCCCCCAGGGCATCTTCCCTACCCAGGGATCGAACCCCCATCTCCTGCGCTGCAGGCCACCTCCTACATTGCAGGTGGATTCTTTACCTCTGAGCCACCTGGGAAGCCCCTATGCTTAAGTACTAACCCTTAATACCTCAGAATGTGACTCCACATGGAGACAGGGTCTTCAGTTATAATGAGATCATTATGATGGGCCCTAATTCAGTAGACTGCCTTATAAGGAATTTCGGCACAGGGAATTTCTGGCAGTCCAGTGGCTAGGACCCTACCTCGTCACTGCGGGAGCCTGGGTTCAATCCCTGATAGGGGAAGAGAGATTTCACAAAGCATGCAGCATGGCCAAAAAATTAAACAAAAAAAGAAATTTGGACACAGATGTGTACAGAAGACAGACAATATGAAGTCACAGGAAGATGTCCATCTACAAGCCAAGGAGAGAGGCCTAGAACAACCCTTCTCTTACACCGGAGGGAACCTATCCTGCTTTGATCTCAGACTTCTAAATTTCCAAAACTGTAAGAAAACAAACTTCTGTTGTTTAAATCACCCATTATGTGGTACTGTCATGGCAGTCCCAGCAAACTAATACACTTCAAACTCACACTATCTCCTAACTGGAAACTTGGATCATGAAAGGGTGTAAGGAGGCTATGGAATCATACAGCAAGCCACCTGGGGAAAGTGAGATCAGGAAAATATTCCAGAGAAGTGACAGCTAAATGGAATGTTTAGTAATAGATGTTCACCCAACAGTGGGATAACAGGTTCCAGGTAGAAAGGACTGGAGATGAAAGACTAACTTCCCAGGTTGCTAGACGTAAACTATTACATTTAGAATGGATGTATCCATTGACTGTCTTAATGTATCCATGGACTGTCAATCACCAGGCTCCTCTGTCCATGGAATTCTCCAGGCAAGAATCCTGGAGAGGGTAGCCATTGCCTTCTCCAGGGGCTCTTCCTGACCCAGGGATCAAAACCAGGTGTCCCACATTGCAGGCAGATTCTTTACTGTCTGAGCCACCAGGGAAGCCGCAATGTATAGCATGGGAAACTATATTCAGTACTGTTATAAACCATGACAGAAAAGAACATAAAAAGTAAGAATGTACATGTGCATGCTAAGTCACTTCAGTCGTGTCCGACTGTTTGTGACTCTATGGACTATAGCCTGCCGAGCTCCTCTGTCTGTGGGATTTTCCAGGCAAGAATACTGAAGTGAGTTGCTCTGCCCTCCTCCAGGGGAATCTTCCCAACCCAGGGATTGAACCCAAGTCTCTTTTTTGTCTCCTGCATTGGCAGGCAGGTTCTTTACAACTGGTGTTACCTGGGAAGCCCTAAGAATGTACATATGTATTTAACAGTCACTTTGCAGTACTGCAGAGATTGACACAACATTGTAAATCAACTATTGTTCAGTCGCTAAGCCATGTCCAACTCTGCGACCCCACAGATGGCAGTATGTCAGGGTTCCCTGTCCTTAGCTATACCCTCAAGTTTGCTCAAACTCATGTCCATTGAGTCAGTGATGCCATTCAACCACTGCATCCTCTATTGCCCCCTTCTCCTCTTGCCCTCAATCTTTCCCAACATCAGGGTCTTTTCCAATGAGTCAGCTCTTCACATCAGGTGGTCAAAATTTTGGAGCTTCAGTCTCAGCACCAGTCCTTCCAATGAATATTCAGGGTTGATTTCCTTTAGGATTGACTGGTTTGGATCTCCTTCCAGTCCAAAGGACTCTCAAGTCTCTAGCACCACAGTTTGAAAGCATCAATTCTTCAGTGCTCAGCCCTCTTTATGGTCCAACTCTCATATCCATACATGACTACTGGAAAAACCATAGCTTTGACTACACTATTAATAAAATAAAAAAAGACTAACTTGCAACATGCCTTCCTCCAACCACTTTTTATCCTACTAATCCATTTCCCCACTGCTCTAGTGCTACTATTTCTTCTTCTTTTTTTTTTGATAGATAAAAAGTGGATATATTTAGAGAGAAACACACTCCACAGAGCATGGGCCATCTCAGAAGGCAAGAGCAGCTGTGCTGTATTTCTAAGATACAAATCATGCCATGTTATTCCTGCTCAAAACTCTTCCATAACTTCCTGCTGCATTCAGGATTAAAGAACCTAAAATCTTAACCCAGTCTCCTAGGCTTTCCAGCATCAGGTCCCTATCTTATTCCAGCATTATTTCATGCCATTCCATACCCCCACTACCCCCACCTCGTTTCCAGTTTGTCACAGAAGACTTCTTTAGGTTTTTCCAACAGCTTCTTCCAGTTACAAAGTTTTCCCCCAAAGCGATCCAATTTGTATGGAACACTATTACCACTTTCACCTCTTTTAACAAATTATTTCCTACTCATCCTTCAGAACTTAGCCAATTAAGTCAGTAGGCTTCTCGCTCTGTGCTTTTTCACAGCACTTCTCCCAACTGTAATTAAACTAATTATGCAATTACTTAGTCCGTTTCAAGTAAACTGCAGGGACCTGTGTCTTAGTTATAGCTATATCCCCAGGGCCTAGCATTTGTGTCTAACCCATATAAGGACTCCATTAATATCTTCTGAATGAAGAGCAATGGTTCAACTAGGAAACTAAAATATGAGTTTTGTATGACTGGAGTTTAGAGGGTTTTTCCAAAAACCCTCCTAAAATCTCAGTTGTCTCTGGTGGGACCATAAATTATATAAGACAGGACCTTAGGTACAGTGACAAGACTCGGCCTCCTTCAGGTAGCCTATGCACATTGACTATAGTGTCTGAGAGAAAAAGCCTCTGTCCTGATTCTCCAAGCTGGGACTCCCAAACTTCAGAATGTAAGTTTTTTTGGCTCTTCATATTCCTAAATCAAGGCACTAACTAGGAAGAGGGGCAGGGTGTGGGAACTCAAGACCCATGCCCAACAGGGCCAAGAAACCACAGTCCTTAAGTGACCAATTTTTGTTATTCTCACGAAGACTACTCTGGGGCGGCATGCAGTGCTAATAGATGCCACTAGATGGCGATACTCCACTAATGTATCTAACTTATGAAAGTGGAAATGGAATTCAGCTACATGCTTGTTTCTCCAGAACCAAGAAAACAAAGGGGTTTGGGCTCAAGGCAGGTCACACCCAGCATCCCAAAAAGAAACAATTTCCATACCAAGTCGACCAGACAAATAAGACAAGCAAGTAGCATAGATGGATACTCCAAGGGCTTTATTAACTCCTTCTTTCTGGGGACGGCAGGACCTTACAGCCGGAGAGATGAAAAGGAAGCCAGGAAGCTGTGGTCTCAATATGGGTCATTGAAGGGGTACAGAGGGTGCCCTGCATCTCTTGGGACCCTCTTCCCATCCACCTGGAGAGACAGACAGATGACTCCATTAGCAGGAGGTGATATTCCCGCACCCTGCCGGTTCCCCTAGTTAGACATTCCAGGACATCTTTTCCCAAGAATCTTCCTGAACAGCCTCACCTGTGTACAGCACTATGACAGATGTCAGTGACAGGGACCTAGCCTCAGAGGATGCCACGGTACCAACAGCATTCCAGCACCAAACCCACAGCCTGGTACATGGCTGACTCTATCCCTAAGAGTTTACAGTCTCAGCTTGGATAAGGAACTATTTATTTTCCTTTCTAACAAGGTTGAGAATGCCCCATTTATACTGAGAAATTGTTACGTTTCAGGAACTGGGATCATTTTACACATAGGAAGCTAAAGCTTAGACAAGTTAAATCACTTGCTCTAGGTTACAAGGTATTGAGAGTCAGGACTGAAACTCACAGGCTAAATGCCTTATCCCTGAACCAGATTACTTCTGGGAGCTCAATAAAGAAAAAACAGCCCACTGTGTCCAGGACAGCAATCCTACCAACAATACCATCCTGCCAAGCCTCTAATCGGCAATATGAAGGCCAGAATGCTGCCCCGAATCTCACATTCCCTGATTCTGGGGGGTGATACACACTCACCGTAAGCATGGGCACAATGAATCGCAAATTTTTATTCAGGGCATCCAGCTGCTTCATCTCCTCTGGGCTAAAGGTGAAGTCAAACACCTGGGAATGGAAGGTGGGGGTCAGGAAAGCCAGTTTTGTGAATAGAAGTTGGGGTTCCAGACCACTGCCTTCTTAGCCAGAGTAAGGGTCAGACTGTGTCCCGGTGGGCTAAAGAAGACAGGACAGACATATCAAGTACCTGAATGTTCTCAAGGATACGGGAAGGCGTGACACTCTTGGGGATGCAGCTCACTTTCCGCTGGACCTGCCACCTAAGTGGGGGATGGAAGTAAATGAAAGTCAGTACTCGTGAGCATTTTGTCCTCCATGCAGACTTCTCTGAGCTCCTAGAGCCCCCGAGCCCCACTGGAAGAGGGAACGAGTCTCAGAATGGCCTCTCCCGAGATAACATGGCAAGATTCTCAGTCTCATTCAGGCACTGGGAACCCCTCAACCCTTGCCTCCCAGCCCAGGAGCCCGCTCCCTAACCTGATTGTCTTTCCCTAAGACTGCCCTTACCGGAGCAAGATCTGAGCCGGAGACCGACCATGCTTTTCAGCCAGAGCCAGGACTACTGGCTCCTTAAGCAGGACAGGCTCCTCAGGATCACGCCATGCACGATCAGAGGAGCCCAGAGAGCTATAAGCAGTCACCTCCAGGCCTCGCGCTTGGCAGTGGGCAATCAGCTCATTCTGAGTCAGGTATGGGTGGCATTCCACCTAAGCCAAGAAACAATCTATCAGCACGGGGTGGCCGCAGCTGGCTTGCTGGCCCCACCCGAACATGTACGTTCTGACCAACCCTGAATTGCTGACCCCCCACTTCCCCTCACTCTGCTTTTCTCACTCTCTAGACAGTTTTCCAATGTCTATTTCATTCTTTTCTCACACTTCAGAGGATTTCTGCACCAACACTTCTGACAACTTTCTAGCTATTTCCAGAAGTAAACTCATCATCTGCTCGCTCATGTTCATTTACACACACGCACACACACACACACACACACACACACACATACATGCACACCATCCCCAAGCCAACTGATCTGCTTTGCTGTGCTCACCTGCAGAACAGCTGGGCGCACAGAGGCCATGCTGAGCACATCATCAATCTGCCGACTGTTGAAGTTGGACAGACCCAGAGCCCGCACCAGCCCCTTAGCCACCAGTGCCTCCAGAGCCCTCCAGGTCTCCTTGTAGTGGGTAGAGTCGTAGCGTATAGTCCCATCAGCATTCTTAGGGAAGGGGCTGTCTCCCCGCCTGAGTGAAAGACAGCCCCCCAGGTGTGGGCACACATGCCAGGCTCCTGTCTACCTGCCTGTCCAGCCATTCTACATCCCATAATCGAAGCCCAGAAAGGGTAAAGGGCCAAGAATGAGAAACAAGCATGGTTTTTCACCTTTCCAGGTGATGATCCAAGTGTTAACTCCACATGGAATGCCCATTCCCCGTTCTCGTCTTCCTAGACACAGATTATATCCCCTCCCCTCTGGGAAGTCATCCTTAACTCCTGCCCCGCCTCGGGAAACTGCATTGCAGGCTCCTACAGCCTTCTTCAAGTACAGAGCACGGAGCTATGGTCGTCTCCTCCCACACCCTCTGTGGGAGCTTACTCTGCTGCAACCCCAAGGCCGAGCCCAGCAAAAGCTAGAACATTTCCCCAATGTATAAAGGCAGCAGGAGGACTCATCCGTATACACCCTAGGATACATGCCATGTGAAGCGGCACTCCATTTTTCTGTAGGTAGATTGTAGCAGAAAAGACTGAGTACTCTTCTCTTGCTTGGCTCCTATAACTTACAAAAAGTTACTAACATGATTCCCCCAATCCCTGATTCCTAGATGAAGACCCTGGCAAGGCTCACTCAAAGGCGTAAGGCCAGTGCATCAGGTACAGGTCCAGATACTCCAGCTGCAGGTCAGCAAGTGTCTTCCGGAGGGCAGGCTCCACATCCTCGGGGTGGTGCTTTGTGTTCCACAGCTTGGAAGTCACAAAGAGCTCCTCCCGAGGCACCAACTGGTACAGGGGGCAGAGTCCACAGTGAGAAGAGCCAAGGGCACCCAGTCTTGCCCACCCTCACCTTTGGGAGAAGAATTAGAAGGAAGCTGATGCCAGATCCCTCCTCACCTTGCCAGGTCCCACATTCTCCTTCAGGGCTTCCCCGATTTCAGTCTCATTGCCATAGATAGCAGCACAGTCAATGTGGCGGTAGCCTACACTCAGGGCATACTTAATAGCTGCCTTAACCTGCCAGGCGAGAAAAGCAAAAGTTTTAACTCTGTTGGCCTGGACCAGCAACTGCCCTCCTGAGGGTCACTGATGGGGGGAGGGGGCAGGAATTTACCACTGTAGTCATCCACACAGTGGAAGTGAGAAGATAGAAGATGGCTCCAGTCTTGGGGACCAGAAGTCTCTGTGGAGACCCCAAACCCTTTTTCCTCCCCGCCACTAACTTCCAAGGTTCCTTCCTATCCAAGCAATCTCAGTAGGGCCCAGCAAAAACTAACAATATGTTCCCTGCTAGATGCTCAGAAGATGGATGGATACATCAATAGGACAGAAAGCAGAAGTATAGCCATGGAGATAGGTTCCAACCCTGGTTAGGGAAATGTGATACACAGGTAAGTAGTTCCCAGAGCAAGGCCACATGGAGAGAGATCCTTAGGAAGCCATGTGGAGACTTCCTTGGTGGTCCAGTGGTTAAGAATCCACCTGCCAAAGCAGGGGACATGGGTTCCACCTCTGGTCCAGGAAGGTTCTACATGCCATGAAGCAACTAAGCCTGTGCATTGCAGCTATTGAGCTGTGGAGACTAGAGCCCATGCTGCACAATAAGAGAAGCCATGGCAATGAGAAGCCCATGCACCGTAACTAGAGTAGTCCCTGCTCACTGCACTGCAACTAGAGACAGCCTGTGCGCAGCAAAGACCCAGTGCGGCCCAAAAAATGTAAACAAAAAATCACACACATATATAAACTGAAATTCCATTTTAAATTATATATATATTTAAAGGGGAAGCCATGTAGACTATGGCTCAGACAAGTAGAAGAGGAGAAGGGAAAACTAAGGAAGGTGGAAAAGTGAAATAGAAGCTGGGCCCAGAGTCTCCCACCAGAAGAGAATAAAGCAGGCACCAAGGAGGATGATGGGTCAGTCAATTTGTTAAAAACCAGACTAGAAACATGGCATCAGGAGCAGATCCAAGGGTGTTAGGCCCCCGTCACTCAAGATCCCCATTTAGGTGCAGCTGTTACTATCCAAACATGTGCCCTTCTCACTGACCCTACTCCATCCCATTTCCCACCCCTCCATCCCTGACCCCATCTTGGCCCTGGCTCTGGCCTCCACCCCTGGCCTTTGTCTAGCTTCTGGACTTGTGCCAGGCAGTGTCAGTGCCTGCCTACAGCACCAGACTCTAGGCAGCTGTAGGAAGGAAAGCAAAAGGAGAAAAGACAGAGTTCATTCAACCATGCCACCAATCCCAGCCTAAATCCCAGATAGAAGAGGCTGTTCTCCCTGCCAGAGTTCCTCCCAAACTTCTATCTACTCTGACTCAGATTCCAAGAACAAGGAACACCCAGGTGGGAGCTGCTCCACCCCAGGTGGGAGCTGAGTCTCTACCTGTGTCCATCTACGAAAGTAGGTTTTCATTCCCAGGCTCCCCTGGGCTGGAAGGTCTATAGCAGGAGTTACTAAACTCCAGCTAGCAGATGCCTTTTGTTTTTTTCCAGCCCTTGAGCTAAGAACAAGTTTTATATTTTTAAATAGTTATATAAGTACATAACCACCTGCATTTTGCAAGTTGTCTGACAAAATCTAAACTATTAACCACCTTGTCCTTTAAGAAACACTTTGCTGACCTTTGGTAAAAACAGTTGACCAAGTTATTCTTTAGATCCTGATACTTGCTGTGTGTATCTGGCTACATATTGTCACCCTGTATCAGGCTGCACATTGTCACCGGTATCAGGCTATATATTGTCACCCTGCTTATTTAACTTATATACAGAGTACATCACGCAAAATGCCCGGCTGGATGAAGCACAAGCTGGAATCAAGATTTCCAGGAGAAATATCAATAATGCAGATGACACCACCCTTAAGGCAGAAAGTGAAGAGGAACTAAAGAGCCTCTTGATGAAGGTGAAAGAAGAGAGTGAAAAAGTTGGCTTCACACTCAACATTCAGAAAACTAAGATCATGGCATCCAGTTTTATCACTTCATGGCAAATAGATGGGGAAACAATGGAAACAGTGACAGACTTAATTTTCTTGGGCTCTAAAATCACTGCAGATGGTGACTGCAGCCATGAAATTACAAGACGTTTGCTCCTTGGAAGAACAGCTATGACCAACCTAGACAGTGTACTAAAAAGCAGAGACATTACTTTGCCAACAAAGGTCCATCTAGTCAAAGCTATGGCTTTTCCAGTAGTCATGTATGGATGTGAGAGTTGGACCATAAAGAAGGCTGAACACTGAAGAACTGATGCTTTTGAACTGTGGTGTTGGAAAAGACTCTTGAGAGTCTCTTGGACTGCAAGGAGACCAAATTAGTCAATTCTAAAAGAAATCAATCCTGAATATTCATTGGACGGACTGATGCTGAGGCTGAAGTTCAAATAATTTGGCCACCTGATACAAAGAGCCAACTCATTGGAAAAGACCCTGATACTGGAATGGCAGAAGGAGAAGGTGACGACAGAGGATGAAATGGTTGGATGACATCACCGATTCAATGGACATGAGTCTGAGCAAGCTCAAGGAGATGGTGAAGGACAGGAAAGCCTGGTGTGCTGCAGTCCAAGGGGTTGCAAAGAGTCAGACAGGACTGAGCAACTGAACAACAACCTGCTCTGTGTAAGGAACCAAATGTGGAACAGAAGACATGATCACAGCGCAGGGTGACAAATGGCACCTTAGGGGTCAGCCCAGGGTCAGGCACAAAGGAGTCCCCCATCTCCACAGCACTCAGTGCAGATCATCAGGGAATGGGCTCCTTCCTATGCTTGAGGCCCTACTGGGCCCCTTAACCACTGCTCTGGATCAGTTGGGGATTGGGGACGCCAAGAGCTCACTATGGGTCCCTTCCCTTGTTTCTTCCCTCCGCCCTCCAGGCTTATCCCTACCAGATGTGAAGTATAGGGGTGGGGGTGATAGTGAAAACACAAGGACCCTCTCCCCAATAGTGCCTTTTCCCTAGAAGAGGGGCAAGAACCTCCTTCTTCTGCCCCCATCCTTCACCTGGCCAGGGTCGCTCTTCCAGGTGCCCAGTCCAATCAGGGGCATCTTCTGCCCAGTGTGTAGGAGGATACAGGAAGCCGCCATTGCCCCTGAAACACAGATGGAAGAGAATGGTGTGAGGGTCAGTGCTGTTGGGGAGACTGGTCAAGGCTCCTGTAAAACATGGGAGGAAAGGGGTACAGAGGTGACAGGAGAACAGACACTGGGTCACGTGTATATGCCTGGGAGCAAAGGTGGCTGAGACAGGGTGCCCAGAACCAACCAAAGCCAGTAGCTCCCAGACAAACACTAACAGGACCACCAGTCTGGCTGCCCTTCCTTTCACCAGGCTAAGGGTCTGGTTAAAGAGCTCTTAAACCTAAAAACAAAGGCGAGGTGGCTCCCCAGAAGTACTCAACCTTGACTACATGAGGTCTCAAGCCAGTATAAGATAAGCATAGGCCTTTGTGAGACAAAGGGAAACCAGGTGACAGACAGGCTCAGGATCGAAGGATGAGATGAACGTTCCAGGAGATTGTTAGCATTACAGAGACTGGGTCCCTCTCACAGAGATCTGATCAGCCATGCTACTAGGCCTGAGTGGGCTCTTACAAGGGAAGTATCCTATTTTTTAGATTAAAAAAAAAAAAAAAAACAGGCCCAGAGAGATAAAGTTATTTGCCCTAAATCAACAGCTAAGTGACAGAGAGAGCCAACAATTCAAGGGGCTGATAGAAAAGGCAGAAAAGGCAAGTGAACACAGGCCAATAAAATACATGTGCTATGCCTCACAGCAGAAAAGCAAGTGACTTCTGTAGGGCAAGGACAAGAGAATAATGACATTGTCTTTTTTTTTTCTAATATTTATTTATTCAGCTGCACCGGGTCTTAGTTGCAGCACACAGGATATTCAATCTTCATTGCAGCATGAGAGATCTTTAGCTGTGGCACGCAGGATCTTTTAGCAGCAGCATAACTCTTATTTGCAGCATGTGGGATCAAGTTCCCTGACCAGGGATCGAACCCAGGCCCTCTGCATCGGGAGTGCAGAGTCTTAGCCACTGGAGCACTAGGGAAGTCCCAACACTGGCTTTTAACATGAGTCAGATTGTCCCAAGAGTAAAGGGAAGGACCTCCCTGGTGGCACAATCTGCCTGCCAATGCAGGGGACACTGGTTCAATCCCTGGTCCGGGAAGATTTCACATGCCCCAGAGTAACTACTGAGCCTGAGATCCAGAGCCCAAATACTTCAACAACTGAAACTCTGCTGCCTAGAACCTGTGCCCTGCAACAAGGGAAGCCACCGTAATGGGAAGACCAAGTACTGCAACAAAGAGTAGATTCCACTAGCCTAAACTAAAGAAAGCCTGCGCAAAGTAACAAAGACCCAGTGCAGCCAAAAATGAATAGTTTTTTTTAAAAAGAGTAAAAGAGGAGTCTTTCCAGGAAGAGGAACCAGACACAGAACTTCAGTGCAGTGGAAAGCAGTAAATCACAGGTATCTAAAAATTTCCAAGTGAACAAAGCACGTGGGTAACTGCAACAACCCCATTTGGAGAGCTATGAAAATCAGAAGTCTCCAGTGGCCCAAGAATACTCATTCAGTCAGCAGATGATGAATGGTCTTACGCTAGACACAAGAGACACACATAGTCAAACAGTTCTTGCTCTCTGGGAGTTCATGGTCTGGTCAGGAGAGGACAGAGGATGTCACAACCCATAAGACGGGACCAAAACCTGCACAAGGGCTACAAGAAAAAAGTGACCTGGCTGGGATGGCTTCTTGGAGGTGACATGGGAGTCGAGCTTTGATGAACAGGATTTATTCAAGAGAAGGGAAAGGAGAAAGAGGGCTCACCCCAAGAATCAATATAGAAACAACCTTTTCCCTTGCTCTTATCAATACTGTAAATATCACTCTCTTGGTGTTGAGTTCATTGCTGGTCAATACCTTTATTATCATAACGTTTGTTACCAAGTTCAGAAAGGATATCAAGAATATTATGGTAGAGTAGGTAACTGGATAAGTTGCAAGTATAACTGACACGCCAACACTGCCCTCCTTAACATTTCTGACTCAGGAAGAATTTTTTTAAGGTTATTACTTTATTATTTATTTATTTTTGCCTTGTGCCAAGTAGGATCTTTGTTCTCTGACAAGGGATCGAACCCACAACCCCTGCACCCTCTGCAGTGGAAGTGCAGAGTCTTAACCACTGGACCACCATTAAGACTCTTATGGTCTAGTGGGCTTCCCAGGAGGCTCAGTGGTAAAGAACTTCCACCTACCAATGCAGGAAACACAAGAACTGCGGGTTTGATCCCTGGGTCGGGAAAATCCCATGCAGTAGGAAATGGCAAACCATTCCAGTATTCTTGGCTGGAAAATTCCATGGATAGAGGAGCCTGGTGGGCTACAGTCCATGGGGTGGCAAAGAGTTGGACCTGACTGAGCACGCACGTACACACACACATACACACAACCTTTTGGAGACCACCCTTTCTGCTAAAATGAAAACAATTCAATTTGGGCAGCAAACCATGGACCACTGAGGGCAATACTCTGTTACCAAACTTCTCAGGGACACAAACTGTCCAGGATCAGGCAAACATGTCTGTACTTCACAGGAGGAACTAGCCTGCTGGCTGCTGCCAGGGACTGTGGCTGGTTTCCTGGGCTTGATCTTCAACCTGTGACCTCTTGGCCTCTGCCAGATTTCTCAGAACATAAGGGTTGGCTCTGAAATTACACCTGGGCTGAAAGTGTGAACAAAAACCTGGCCTGGGGGGAAAAGGAAGAAGAAACCTGAAGCTTGCCTCTCCCCTTTCTTTTGCTGGTGAAACTGAAAACCAAAAAGGCTAAGGATTGAGGGGCAGGGATCAGAGGAAGAAACACTAAACTCAGATCTTCAAAGAACAAATGCTCCAAAGGACAGGTGGAAGGCAGAAGACAGATGTTTTTCTCTATCAGAGGACAGGAAGTCATCCTCTGCCAGCTCCTGACTTCCTTATCTTCTGCCTGTGTATCAGCCTTACGGCCTAGCCCTGTGTTAAAAGGTTCTGAGCTTGTCAGCATCTGCCTAGCTGGACCTCTAGCAGCATTCAGACACTCCCATGTTATCTTGGGAGAGGTTCAAGGTGGAAAAGAAAGAGAAGCTGAGTGTGTAGGGGGCCGGGTGAGGGCAGTATCAGGACTCAGGTTTTATTAATCCCAGATCAGTGGCTAGGTTCCTCCTCTCTGGGGCTTAGTCTTCCCTTCTCAGAGAAGGGCTCTGTAGTTGCTGCCAGGATGCAAGAAACTTGAAAACACAGGAAGAAGAAGCAGTCTTCACATGAGTGTTCCCTGGCTGCATAGGCCTTCCCTCTCTGCCACCTTCCCCCACAAAAAATATTGATGTCCCTCACGGTTCTGTCCTCAATCCCTTCTCGCTCCCTAGTCAAGCTTCAGTGACAACATTAATCACTAATTCTTCCCACCCCAGTTTTATATATTCACCTCCCTTCGGACATTTCCACCAGTATATCCTACAGGTATGAAACTCAACATGTCCAGAACTAAACTTATCAAACCCAAAAACAGAGCACAGAGGAAATAGTTCAAGTTCTGGAGTTGCACAGACCTGGGCTTGAATCTCAGCTCCTCCATTTTGAAGAGATATTATGCCCAAAGCCCTCTGCACAGCGCCTGACCACATTCTTTGTTCTATATACTCTGTCTCCCCAGGACTCAGGGCCCTGGATGACAAGTGTGAAAGCAAACCAGACAACACGTTCACAGTGTAATCCATGGGGATCTTACAAAAGCCATCTAAAGTATTTCAGTTTGTTTGAGGCATTTCTGAGTATTATAAGATTAGGGTTTTGACAGGTAGTGGGAAGGGGAATATAGCTTCTCCTGAACTTTGAAGACGCCAGCATGGAAAGCCACCTTAAATATGAAACAGTGGCCAAGATTTGGTCTATCTGGCTGGGTTAAAAATCCTGTAAATACTAAAAAAAAAAAAAAAAAAAAAAAATCCTGTAAATACTTGTAAATATTTTTTAAAAGATACTATTTGCTCTAAACTGTAATATAACACCTAAGACTGCAATACCCCTCTTTGGACTTATTGATGTATGTGAAAAGAATTTTAAAATATATACTCTTTAAATCTTTACCCAACCCATCCATAGCCACCTCCAGGGCCACTGCTCCAGCTGTGACCACCCTTCCCAGAACCAGGGATTGCTCTGATCCAGTGAGGCCCCTCTCCCCGACCAAGCAGTCCCCAAATCTGACCACGTGACTCCCAGGCTCTCTTCCAGTAGTTCTCTCCTACCACCCGGGTAAAGTCCAGATTCCTTAGTAATACCCTTTATAACCTGGCTCGAACCTCCCCCATCTCTCCACCTCTTCACTTCAGACAACATATTCCAGACTCTGCAGAAGCAGCCACCATACTTGATTCCAAGCCTCTGCACACTTCCCTTCTGCACAAGTCCCACCCTTGCCTGGCTAACTGCAGCTCACCCTTCAGCTAGCTTTAAATTTCTGGGTCCTCCCATGTACTGATAGCTGTGCATAACACTGCATTTGTGTGCTCATTTTCCCTCAGAAATTTAAGTACTCCTCAAGGTCAGGGCCTGTCATTTGTCTAATCTGGTAGCTGCTACAAGGCCTGCTTCCCATTTCCCCTACCCCACACACAGGCAAACAGGGGAGATCTTGACAGTTGGAGGTGCATCTGAGAAAGTCACTGCCTCCATCACCTTCTTCCTTTACTTCTTAGACAACCTGGAAACAACGATCTCTGGAAAATAACAAAGCACTTTACCATCTCCGATTAAAAAAAAAAAAAATCCCAGTGATTCCATTAGGTATTGCTCTTGTATTACATGTAAGAAAACTGAGACTTTGGGGACTGTAACAAGACTGATCAGAACCCGCAAGACTCTTCTAAGGGAGGTCGTGCAGCCCTGAGTACGGACAGACAGAAGGAAAGAGTTAATTAATAATAACCCCATCCGGTAAAGGTTCAGATTTCAGTTTGAAAAAGCACTCGGGCAAAACAGAAACATGCCCTGGCTTTCCCAAACCCAAGGCAGGTTCCAAAGCTAGCGAACC